CAGGTGGGACGGCAGCCCCGGAGCTTCAACCTTGCTCATCTTCTTTCCTTCCCCTGTGCAACACGCAGTGAAATTTCTCTAACAATTTTTAATTTAAAAACCCGTGACATTTCCAGCTGATGCAAACCCACCCTAACAGAATTTCAGCAGAAACACGCACATAAAAAGGCTGTTTAACAAAGTTTGTCTGGCAACAATGGAGCCCTGAACCAAAACAGGCTCTTCCCAACCCAGCCAGTGCTGCTGCTTCTGCCTTTTCCTTCTGACACCATCGACACAGTGACAAATGGTACATCCACGCTTGGATCATGGTAAATAATTAATCATGTCCTTGCAGTGCCATGGCATATCAGAGCCTCACAGCCCTGTTAAGAGGCACCAAATATGAGCAAAAACACCTTTTTCTGTAGGAGAATGTTTAACGAGCATCTACGTGGTCTCTTTTCTCAGAATTTGTCTAACTGAACACACACACAAGACCTGCAACAAGGAGGGAAAGTAAGCGCCACACAACTTTAAGGCTATGCAAAATCAAAACCCTATTCCAGGTGAGGATCTCAGCCTTCAGGAATCCGCAGTCGGGGTACAGCAGCATGGAGCCCCATGAGCCTGCAGGAACAAGCTGTCTCATGGGCTCTGCGCCCCTCTGTCCAGTTGCCACTAAGAGGCTTCTTCCAAAGAGCCACAGGGTCAGCACTTCCTTTCTCAAAGCATTTCACAAAAGTAGGTCTTTCCTGACACTGTTCCACTTGGAAAATTCGTGTTAGCAACTTCAACTCATTTCCAGCCCAGTCCCTGACTCTGGACTTTCCACAGCCTAGGGGTAACACAGCAGACTTTCTCCAGCCTGAAGTGTTACCGAATGTTTCCTGTGTCAATGAACTTTCTCTCCGGTGTGGATTCACAGCTAGCAGTAACTCTGAGCATCACAGACTTCCAGCACAGCTCCAACACGTGCCCAGCAGCAGGCGGCACTGGTGAAGGTGGTGAACTGCCTCCAGAGACCATTTCAACGCCATCTGTGGAAAATAATCCCCAACCTTCTCCCTTTGTCTGGGAGGGGGCTCAGGATGACTGTTCCACAGCTGCCTCCTCCTGCCATGGCCCAGCACAGAGCAGGGGGATCTCGCTGTGGCCCTGCCCAGCAAAGGTGATAGCAGAGGGTGCTGCAAACGCCCCCAGCTGGGTGGGATTTTCTATATGGAGTGCATTACAGCCCCCCTGATCTCCGTGCAGGGCCAACTAGCCAATGCCAGGTGTGTTTCTTGCAGGTGACTTTCCTGATGCTTCATTAAACTCCTCCTGAGCACAAATCTCTTCCTGCAGAGGGAGCACTGGAAGAGCCCCTCTCCCGAGTGCCGGCGCAGGTGGTTTAGAAGGTAGTCCTTTCTCCGGTAGCTTTTGTCACACTTGGAGCACTTGTATGGCCTCTCTCCCGTGTGAGTCATCTGGTGCCTAATGAGCCACGAATGGCACACAAAGCTTTTCCCACAGTCGCTGCAAATGTAGGACTTGCCCCTGCCTTGGCTCTGCGGCTGTCCCGCGGGGCTGCCCCGGGGTGCCAAGTGCTGCTGGCACTTGTTGCAGGCCTCCACCTTGTCCTGCGGGTGATCCCAGCAGGGGCTGGCCAAAGGGTTTTCTGACAGGAATTTCTCCTCGCTTTCTGCTGACGGCTGCTCCTCTCCACCCAGGACGTGGTGCTCATGAAGCCCAGGTTCACCCGCAGGGTTCTGCCCGCAGTCGGGGTGCGTGGTAAGCTGTGGCCCCATGGGCAGCCCCTCATAGGAGGCAGAAGCAGGCCCCTGCCCGGCTCCTTTCTCACCTGCAGCACATGGCTGCGAGTGCAGCAGACGGAATGCCCTTTCATTGAGACTCCTCTCACACGTGGGGTCTGGAGACACTTCCCTTTCTCGCACTCCCTGGAGAGCCTGGAGATGTTCCTGCTGGGTGGAGTTTCTCTCCCATTTGTTGTATGTGCACAGTCTCCTTCCGACGCTGTTTTCCTGAGCGCTGAAGAAATCCAAGTGCTCACCAAACCCTCCAGTGTGCCGAGTGCCATCCCCAAGACTATTCCCAGTGGTGTTTGTTTCCATCATTTCTGAATTCCACTGACTGTCCCATGGCACTCCAGGGCTACGATCCTTGGAAAACTGCTCTCCAGGTCTTCCTGGCACCTCTGAGCCACGTGCTGTGCTTTCAAAGCAATCCGCTGGAGGGTCCCTCTTTGTGCTTTCATCGTGCACTGAAACAGATACATTTCAGAGTCTTTGATTAAAACAGGGGAAGTTCAGGTTGGATATAAGGAAGAACTTTACTGTGAGGGTGGTGACGCACTGGAACAGGTTGCCCAAAGAAGTGGTAAATGCTCCACCCCTGGCTGTGTCCAAGGCCAGGCTGGGCAGAGCCTTGGGCGACATGGTCTAGTGTGAGGTGTCCCTGCCCATGGCAGGGGGATTGGAACTGGATGATCTTAAGGTCCTTTCCAACCCAAATCATTCCATGATTCTATGATTCAGATAAGGCGGGAGGTTTTAATACTGATAGGGGAGCAAGTACCAGCGTTCCACTGAAAGAAAATCTTCAGGAAAACAGATTTTTCTTTTCCCAATTATTTTTTTCTTTTAAATCTACACAAAAAAATCACTGATGCAATGTCTTATCTTCCCCCTCTCACGCACATGTCTTGAAATGTGAGGTTTATCTTCCCTGACAGAGTAGACATGGCCACCCCTCGCTGCTCTCTGCTGCTCTGCAGACAATTCAGCGAGGATCTAGAGCAAGAAGGGTCCAAGTCACTACACCACTGCCAGCCCAGTGCATCCCTGGGGCTGCATCCTTTTCTGGGATCCCAGGCTGGGCTTCTGCAGGGAGACGTTCTCTGCCTGGGTCTTTCTCCTTGGAGAAAGCTTGGAGCAGTGGTGAGTGGAGGAAGCTCTCGCACGTTACAAGTGATCCCCAGACAGGCACACATCTCTGGCTTGATGTGGAGGCACGCCCTGACAGAGAGCTGCCTCTCCCCTAGATGCCTCTCCTGCTTTCCTCAGAAAACATTACTCCTGACAATCCAACCCAAAAAGGCACCACTGGACAAAACTGTCCTGCTGACCTACAAATTCCCCATCTGTGATCATTTCCAGTGTTTCATTTTCCAGCTTATTTCCAACAACGTTCTTCAGCCCAACTTTCTAATGCTCCATGACTTTCTGTCTCCTAAGACCTGTGACCCTTCCAACATCTGCCAGTTGCTACAGAAAGATTCCACTGAGCATCACAACGGACCATGGGCCTCTCAGCAGTGTCATCCAACTGAATCCAAAGTTACCTGCACTGCAAAAACATCTCCAGCCCCTATTTCTCCAGTGGTGTACTGGGACAGCAGCACACAAACGCGTCACCACAGGCTGAGCTAAAGCGTGAACGCAGAAGGCACCGGTTGCTCTACAGTAGTTGTCTAAGCATGTCCTCCCACCCCAGTAACTCCAGGTTGTGCGTACACACAAGCTGGAAGGTCTGGCACAGGCTGAGTGGGCTGGGAAGCCCACCCTGAGAGCTCTTGGAGCAGTTGTAACAGGCTTCCTGTGGGAAGGGGTGAGGTGGAGCAGATCCAGCCTTACAGCCGGGTGATATTCTGGATGACCTTTTCTGGTGGGGCAAAATCATGCACGCTGGCAGTTTCCATGCAGTTACCAGCATACCAAGAGTTTACTTCTTGATTTACTCTATAGTAACTTCACCACATGCTAAGAATGTTTAAGTAACTTAGGTTAAGTGAAGGAATCAGGCATGATCCATACTCCCAAGTGTGCGCTGGAGTACAACAACTCCAAATGAACAAACGTCAGCATGCACATCTCCAAACGACACATCTCAAAATTGTTTTGCATTAAAGCCACCTTATCTTTAGCTGCAGGACAGCTCTCCTGCTTGGGAATGCAAACTCAGGGCTCCTTGTTCATTGGTACCAGCTTTAGAAGCCACCAAGCCAGAGGGAATCCTAGAATGATTTGGGCTGGAAGGGACCTTAAGGACCATACAGTTCCAAGCCCCTGCCACGGACAGGGACACCGTCCATTAGAGCAGGTTGCTCCAAGCCCCGTCCAACCCGGCCTTGAACACTGCCAGGGATGGGACAGCCACAGCTTCTCTGGGCACCCTGTGCCAGGGCCTCACCACCCTCACAGGGAAGAACTTCTTCCTCACATCTCATCTAAATCTCCCTTCTGACAGTTTAAAGCCATTCCCCCTTGTCCTGTCCCTACCTGCCCTTGTCAAAAGCCCCTCTCCAGCTTTCTTGTGGGTCCCTTTAGGCACTGGAAGGCTGCTCTCAGGTCTCCCTGGAGCCTTCTCCAGGCTGAACAAGCCCAGCTCTCTCAGCCTGTCTCCATAGCAGAAGTGCTCCAGCCCTTGGAGCATCTTCATGGCCTCCTCTGGACTCACACCAACATCTCCTCATGTTAGGGGCCCCAGAGCTGGATACAGGACTGCAGGGAGGAGTCTCACCAGAGCCTCTTGAGCTGACAGAACCTCCCATTTTTGAGAACAAGTATTAACCAGCAGACTGAGGTTTGGTCTAGTTCTTTTGAGGCTTAAATTATTAGTTTATGACATCTAATATAGAATAAAAAAAAATCTGAATTAGATTTACTGTCCCAGAAATCTCAGCTGAAATCCACTACTAACCTGTGCTTGGACCTGCAGAGACTTCTTCTTTCTCCAAGTCTTGTCGTTCAGGGCAGCGTGGCTCCTCTTCTTGTTTAATCCACGATAAAACATCAGTTGCATAAGTCTGAAATCCTGCTCATGAGAGAGAATACACACAGCTGAGAAACACCAAAGAAAGATGCAAAGCACGGAAGATTTGGGAATGCACAAAGACAAGGGAAGTGAAGATTTGGGAATGCATGAAAACAAGGGAAGTGCTGACAAAGCCTCAGAGAAGACGTGACAGGAGAGGCAATTCCCTCAGTGGGCGTTTTTGCCAGGGAATCCTCACCTGCATCAGGGTTTTCTCGGAGGTCCTCACCCTCCACACCTGGCAGCTCCCTGGCATGCACCTCTTTGCCTTTCTTGGGCTGATTTGAAGCCTCCGGCTCATAAAATGCTTGCTCTGTGAAAGGAGAAAATAGAAGACAAGCATATGGTGACTGTGTAAGCTCAGGATTTCACAAGGGTGGAACCTGCTCTGCTTTTGTTTTTCATTTTCCCACAAGCCAAGCTCCCAGAAACCCAGTTTCTTAAAGGTCTAAAAATCCCAGTTTGCCACATACTGGATGCCAAGTAAAATAATGATGGAGCCAGCAGGTAGGACTGCTGCCCTTTGTAAAAGGTAAGGACAGCCCAGCTCCAAAGCAGAATAGTTCATCTGTAATACAAAGAGGTATCACTGAGTGAGAAGGCAGGTCCCTGGGCTGTGCAGGCTCCCTGTACAGCACCAGCACCTCCAGGAGCCAGTGCACTTGCTCATGTATGCAGAAAAAACACAGGAGAGGAGGGAAAAGGCAGCCTGAAGCCTCTGGATGCGCAGGAGGAGAGGCACCACAGCCCTGTAAGAGAAAGCTGCAGGGGTTGGGGAGCTGCAGCTCTCCACAGCCACTCTGACCCTCTGCGGACGCCCTGCAGTGGATGGCACCAACCCCATACCTCATCCCGGCGCTGAGCTTTGCCTCTTCCAAGTTAACCCACTGGGCCCAAAAAGTGACCAATTGTGATGATATATTTAACCAGAGCTGTCAAAGTGAGGTAAGAAAAGTGAGGAAATTAAGGGAGAACAAAACATTTCCTATTCCCCACTGCACTGCTTGGATGGGAACCAGCCACATGCTTTGCAAACTCCAAAACGGCCATGAGAAGGGCAAGACAGAACACCAGCCCTTACCCGTCAGGACTGCTGGCAAGTCTGTTCAAAACCTGTGAGCTTTTCATAAAACATTTGGAATACATGAGAAAAGGTGGAAAAAAACCCCAACCTTGGAATTTAATCCTTCTGTTTCATTTTCCCTCCGAGGTATGCAGTTACTCACCCAGGCAGGGCTCTTCAGGAGCTTCTCCAGCCTCCCCTTCCTGCT